TGGAGGGTGAGGATCGCCCGGGACGGGGGGACCACGTGGTTGGGGGGCGCCCCGAGGACGAGTCACCGCTCCGGCATCCGTCGGACACGGGCGCCACCCTTCCCGGTCCGTCGGGGATGAAGGCCGCGGGGCTGTGGGGACAGCGGCGGTGGGGACGCCCGGCCCGGCGACCCCGATCGGCGACCCCGCCCGCTTCGAGCGCGCGGAGATTGAAACCCCGCGCTGTCTCCCGGCGGCCTCCCCTGGTCGCGGGGAACCGGGGGTCGCTGGGGTGGGGCGTGGGCATGTGGTCCCGAAAGCGTCGGGCTTCCGGGAACCTCACCGGGAGGTTGACAGTCAGCTGTGCGAGAGCGTGTCCCTGCGTGGCCGCCTTGCGCTCGCCCGCGTCACGCCTCCCCGGTGCACCCCTGTGACCAGGCAGGCAGGCGTTCGGGCTTTGCTAGACAAGCCGGCCCCAGCAAACTTTTAGACAGCAAACTTTGTGGGAGTTGCAGGGCAGATGCCTATCAGCCCTTACATTTGTTTTGGTTTTGGTTTTGCTTGAAACTGTGTTTGTATCCCTGACTGACCTGGACATCTGTGTGTAGACCAGGCTAGCTTCAAATCTGCAGAGATCCTATCCTTTTGCCTCGGGTGCTCAGTGCTGGAGTCAGGTGTGAGGCACCACACCCCACTTTTTGGTAGACTCATTTTAAGTTATTCTTGTCTTTCAAATATGTCATGCCATGTGAGTAGAATAGTAATTGTTGGAAAAGTTAAACTACTCTGAAGGTTATTGCAATGATTCTCAGAAGTCTGGTTTGGTTTTTTGTTGTTGTTGTTGTTGTTGTTGTTTTTTTGTATGGACAGAACTATACATGTCTCCCATATAGATATGATGATAGTTCCACTTCAGGTATTTGGAGACGTTTGCATAGGGAAGATAGGTTATATGGTGCTATGAAAGCAAATATTTTGGAAAGATGTTAGGGAAGGAATATTTTGAGATATGAGAAACCGCATTCTCCTAGGTTTGCTCAAGTGATAACAAGTTGGGCTCACTGTTTTTGGTTTGTGGCTGAGCTTCCTAGTTACGTTGATATGAAACATGAGTGTCACGTGGTACAACTGGGACCTGGCAGCTTGTGTTCCTATCAGATCTGTCAGGACATGTTTTGGCTCTGAGACTACTAGCTTGTGGACCTTTTTGGTCTTGACGGCGTGAGGCTCAGGAATCCAGAGCACAAGAATGAGAGCAACTTTTGGCTTGGGTGATGGCTGGAGGCCATTGAGTGTAAGACCAGCCACAGTCCCTGGACAGAGGTAGCCCTCCCTGGTATATTCTTGGCAGGGCATCTGAGCAGTCCTGAGTATCTACACGGAGGTGGCCTTCTGAAGTGTAGCAAGCACGCACAGAGTAGGCTAAGTTCCTGCTGGGCGTTCCCCCAGTGCGGTCATAATAATCCTAGTACCCCGTGTGCTAGATCTGACTACTCCCATTTTCGTTTGGAACTGCCCCTGCCAAGTAGTAGAACTAACTGAAACTACGCCTTTAGGTCTCTGCGTTTAGTTTTAAGGCCTTTTCCTTATAGTTCTGCTGCTTCTCGATTGGATCAGGGCTCACGGGGTGTTTGCCTGCTGCCCCGAGTCAAGTTCCTCAAGACGGCGCTGTAATTTGGCTATGATCTGAGTGTCCTAAGAGGCTTCCCATGTTGAAGTTAACCTGATGATAGTGCATAGAGGCAAGGCTTTGGGAGGCATTAGGACGAGATCGCCCGTAGGGTGGAGTCGTGGTGACTAGATCCTTGTGGTTCATGAAAGAGGAGGTGAGATCGGCACATGTGCCAACTGTGTGTTCTCAGCTCCATGTCTTGCCATGTGCCTGCCACCCTGGGATTTTACGAGAAGTCCTGCACTAGAACTAACCCCTCTGTTTCCTACCTCCAGACTGGGACCAAAACACCTCGTTTCTTGGTAACTTGTTAGTACAGATGGGAGATGACATTAATAAAGCAGATACAAAGCAGTTGCCTCACGTGGAGACAAGTGAACTGGGGAGCTTTCAAAATCTTGTCCTTTTCAGTCGCAATACAGTTGAAGAAGCCAAGTATAGTGAGAACAGAGTAGATTTCTGCATTTTGCTGTAATGATGTCCCAGAGAATTCAGTGCTGGTTGAGTTTAGAGGAAAGCTATCACAGAACTATGCCATTGCAGAATAGATCATAAAATAGGTGGCTTGCAGGGCCTCCTAGAGTTGTTGTGTGCTGGCAGCCCATTGCCGACTTCAGGAATATTTGTAGCGCCAGCATCCTGAAGCCAGTCATTGTGAGAGTATTAACGCCATGAAGTCATCAAATGCTGTTAAATAAGACAGGGTTTCTCCCTTACTGCCTTGGTTGACTTGTCGGCATCCTGCTGGGTGTATGTTAAAGTCTGTGTATCGTCCTGTGCTTTGGAGATTCAAGAGTGAGCTCTTTAGCTTTCCTCCTAGAGAACTGCCAAGATCTTCCTGCTACCTCTGCTCTGTAAGCTTTGCCCATGAAACTCCGCAATGCCAGTACTTAAGTACTTAACTGACTCGGGTCTTACACACACACACCCCAGCACACACTGGCCTCAAGATCTTACACACACACACCCCAGCACACACTGGCCTCAAGACCTCATGTGAGCACTGTCCACTGAGCTACATCCTCCAGCCCTCTTGAGTACTATAGTAAAACTCTTATTAGACAGCCAACTCTCCTAACACTTTTTTTACTCTCTTAACTGAGAGTTACTTTTATTAGGGTCTATCTTTTAACTATTTTCTAAATACAGTAATTCCCTAAGCGTTTATTACCTTTTTATGTTTCATTTATGCACAGTTCTTGAACTGTCTTGTCTCTGAAGGACTGAGGCCTCACTCTCTCCTGTACTGCACTGTTTTGTTGTTTGCCAGCTGTTTGTGTCTAGTTTTTCAAGGGTGCGATGTCTGGACATAGCCTTGTTTGTGTCTCCTTCCTTTTAGTGGTGTCAAGTGCACAGTCTCCCCCCTGCTCTCCGATTTTTAAGACGGTTTCAGTCTTCTGGTTGTCTGCACTCTTAACTGACCTCTAAGTATCAAACCTGCCCCTTTATTGTCTCAGGATAACAAATCAATTATCAAGTCCCCACAGAGCCTAACAGCCTGCCTGCCCATCATTGTCCCACTACTACCCGGGAGCCACCTAGTTCAAAACCTTCACGTTCTTCCCTTGGAGTTTTGCAAGCTATTCCGTGTGGCTCCCATTCAGGTTTGGAATTTTATTTCCTTTCTCTGCACCCTTTCCATGCTTCCTAAACATGTCACCTGCTTCCTGTCATTCTTTGTGGTTTGTTTCACATCGTTTTCTGTAACCTTCTTTCTCTAAGGTCATGGTTCTTCGTGTGTTTGTGTGACGCATGCATGTGTATGTACATGTGTATGTGTTGCATGTGGAAACCAGATGAGGACATCGGGTGTCTGTCACTCTCTGCCTTATTCCTGAGAGACAGGGTCTCTCACTGAACCTGAAGCTTGGTATTTTGGCCAGTCTAGCTCATGGGGTCTGCCCCCCATGTTGGGTAATAGGCACACTAGGCGATGTTTCCTTTCATGGGTGCTAGGTCCTTTGTTTGCACAGCAGGAAATTTTATCAAACCACCAAACATCTCCGCAGCCCCCATGGTAAGATCTTTAAAGACAAGGTCTTACTATTGTGGCCTTCAACTTTTGAGTTTTCTGCCTTTACTTCCCAAATGCCAGGACTGCAGGCATATACCCACCACACTCAGCTCTAAAGTTTCTTTGTCTCAGTTAAATACTGTTATTAATAGACTTATTTATATACTTATTTTGTCAGCTTAGAGAAAGACTTTTGTCCTACTCAAATGTTTGACAGAGTCCAAAAGGGCTTTATAAATCATAATCTTCAATAATTTCTTACTAAGCCTTTAGCTATTGTAAACTTATGCTGACATGAACACGGAGCTTACAAACCTGGAAGCTAATTATTCATATTTCAGGTGTGTGGCTTGTTTATTTTCCTAAGATATTCAGAAATTCTTGTATACGAGCAGAATAACAATTAGAATCACACACTTCAATTTTACTGGGATGTCAGAAACAGGATTCTATTTTTTGACCTTGGATGAACCAACCCAGACCTTTCTGTCCCTGCACTCCAGAATGCCAATCACAGACCAGCAAATGCAGATGTCAACTCTGTGACCAAAAAAGATTATAAAATCAGGGTGGACCACGCATTCAAAACAATGCTCAACGGCATGTTTCCGGACTCGGAGGTGTGACCCATGCTATTATAACACCTGTTCTCAAACATTGTCACTTCTTAAAATAGCCTTGACTAAGTGTTAAATTTTTAGTTAAACTTAATGATTACCTGATTGTGAGTTACAAAAAAATGTGCAAAGATAATTTTATTAAAATTGTTAACTTTGAGACCTAGGACTTTTAATTTTGTTGTCTTCACTGTCTGATGGATAAGCTTATTTTATAACTGACTTAAAGAAACATTTCTCCGACTTAAGTAGCAAGTATGAGCATTCTCATGTAATGGCTTCAAGTGTGTCCAACATGAGGGGTCTGACTCTCCTCCTGAGTGGTTGTTGATTGTGTTAGGGAGGGTAGGAAATGCTATAGGAAGGATGGGCGTGTGTGCACATGTGTGTGAGCATGTGTGCACGTGTGTGCACATATGTGTGTACTTGTGGGTATGTAAATTCTTGTTTTTACAAGAGAAGGTATTTCTGTGTAGTTTAGGCTGGTCTCAAAATCTTAATCGTTCGTTCTGCTTCAGCCTCCTGAGCGCTTGCATTATAGGTTGGAGTCGCACCACTCAGCTCTCAAAATATTCTAAGTTAACACGTGGGTCTATCAGCGGGCACGTGCTGTCGTAGATGTAACGGTCAGCGATCACATGGACAGTTTTAGTGTTGTGTATCTAAAAACGTTAAGTTCGCCACTTAGGTTGTACTCGCATGTGGCGTGTTCTCTTTCACAAGAATGGAATTTGAAAATTCTGTTTCCAAGAAAGGAGGCCTTAAGTTGTATCGCAGTTCCAATGTGGAAGTTTTAAATTCTTCTTTGAATTATTTCAGAGGAATCTGTTTATTGTCTCTAATTCGTTTATTTGTTGTGTGGTTTGTTTAAGGTAGAACTCTGTGCTTAGACCACAGAGAGCAAGAGTGAGCACTTTCCCCTTTTGGTTACACCAGCAGAGGGGTGGAGGCGATTCTAAGCCAAACTGTAACACAATGAAGCCCTCTTTACTTATGACCTAATTAGAAATGTTACGTTAAGTGGCCAGAAGAGTGTGTGGAAATTGGCCAGACATCTGTATATTTTCTTCAGAATACTTTGAAACCTCTTCCACCATTTCACAATATTTAGATTGTGCAATTCAGGTTTAGTAACACTATAGATAGTCAAATGCCTCAGAGAGCAAAACAGGAACTACCAGGAACTTAAATGTTCATTGTTAGTGATAGTTACAAAAGATTAGGTGGAAGGTTCAGGGAAAATTCAGGATACTTAAAATCAGTTTTGTTTTTTTTTTTGACAAATATACTCTAATGTGTCAATGACAACCGCTTGGCTTTCCTGAGGGTTAGCATTGTAGTATGGTCCTCTCAAGCCATTCTAATTGGTTTGTTTGCTTCCACTCCAGTGGTTATAGATCTAGCTCAGGAATCTTCTATTTTCTTTTTTTAAAAAAATATTTATTTATTTATTTTTATGTATACAATATTCTGTCTGTATGTACATCTGCGTGCCAGAAGAGGTTACCAGACCTCATTACAGATGGTTGTGAGCCACCATGTGGGAGCCGGGAATTGAACTCAAGACCTTTGGAAGAGCAGGCAATGCTCTTAACCACTGAGCCATCTCTCCAGCCCTTCTATTTTCTTTTTTAAACCAGATACTCCAGGGCTTGTGCATTCTGCCTTACCAACAAGCTCAGTGCCCAGGTCATAGGGCTTTTGGAGAAAACCTATTGGCACAGGCTGGCGTGCCAAGCCTCCCTGTGCTGTCCGTGTTACCTATTGGCCCAGGCTGGCGTGCCAAGCCTCCACGTGCTGTCCGCGTTTCCTTTGGAGACTCCAGTCTTCTCAGTGAAGGGCTTCTTCCTATTGCAGTTGATTCTTCTATCTCTTCTAGAGTCAGGCTTGACCATGGCTAATATAGCTTATTGATCATTGCTTAGGTAGTTCATACATTTTTATTTTACAAAGTGTGTAGACCGCTGTCTCTGTTTGCTGTTCTACGGCTGGACTGTGTACATTTTTGCCTTGAATCTGTGACCTCAGAAGAGTGACTGAGTCTAACAGCCTTAGATCCACCGTCCACATGCTGTGCCAGACAACTCAGTGGGAAGGCACAGCCTCTTTGGAGATGTGGCTAAGTTACTCTACAGACAGAAGACTAACAGAGGTAGCAAGAAAGGAACGAGGAGTCCTGAGCAGGAGAGAGGCTGACAGTCAGACCATGGCTTTCACTCTGTCGGCGGGGGCTGCAGAGTGTGAGGTACTTGATCTACAGGTGCAGTCCCCTTCGGCAAATTCTTACCAGTCATCAGATTAAAGCGTGTTAGGCTTAGGAAAATGCTATCTTCACAGTTCTATTAGGGATAAAAATATGTGGAGTTTTTTCACTTCAAATATGATATAGAACAAACTTTTGTGAAAACTGGCCTTATATTGATGAAAAGGTAGCTATGAAAACATGAGAACTGGTGCCCCTTAATTTTTCATATAACCCACTAGGCTTACAGACACTAAATTGAACTAATAATGACTGAAGCAAATACTGCATTTGTATTTTCTTTGTCCCAACGTGTGTATGTCATTTGGAGCAAGTAGATTATAGATCACATCAGGGTTTTTTTGTATTGATCTCTGATTGTCTCTGGCAAAGAACTGTACTATGATCTGAGGGATATTTGTAAGAAAAGTAATGAGATGAGATTCAGTTATAATAAGTTCCTGTTCATAATTTTATAATCAAAGAGACAAGCAGGCACAAAAGAGGGTGAGTTTCCATTTAATGGTAGTTCAAAAACAAGCAAAATCACATTACCCTCTTTTTGAAAATTAAAAAATTATTGATAAACTAAAAAACAAGTTGCTGAAGCATCTTTCCCTGATGAGTTTGCAGATACACTCAGAAGTGGACTAGTGTGAACACCTTAGGTTCACACCTCAGCAGTTGGTAAGGTACAGCACGTGTGAGGGGCGCCCGGAGTCTTCCTTTTCTGTCTTGTCAATGCACAGTGTGAGACTGGCATTTAGTGAAGGCCTTTATGTGTCTAACTATTGGCTATGAAAAGCTGGCCAGCTGGATCTGACAATATTTTTGTATTGATTCTTTCTGTTTGTGTGCGTGCACGCACGTGCGCACACACACAGAGCTACTGAACCTACTAGGAAATTTATCTAAAGACTGAGAGGAGAAGAAAGTTAACTGTAAATAAGGGGTGGACGAGCTTCTATGAGAGAGCGTAGGTGTTGGGTCCTCCTCCTCCTGTCGACGCCTGGGCTACATGCTGACTTCTATCTTGGATTTCTCCTTTGCATCAACTTTCCATTATATTTTGTTTGGAAGTTCCAGACCCTTGCCCTGCCCACGTACCTTGTTACTGTAGAGCCTGAGGTTCACTATGTGCCCGTTGCTAATCGAGAGAACCCAATCTGCTTTTGCTCATCACACACTGGTTAGGCTGCTGACGTCACAGTTCTCAAGGATTTAGCACTGCTATAAAGGTCAGCTGTGAGACAGACTTAACTTTTGGTGCGTTCACCATGCAGTAGGTGATACACGTATAAACAGTCAGCCAGTGACACACCCTAGCCTCTGCAGCAGGGACCCCGCCTCTGCACCCTAGCGTCAGGAACAGTGTTTGTGGGAAAGTGAGGCGTCAGGACCAAGGGAAGAGCTGGGTAAACCGTAGAGACACGCGGTAGTAGAAGAGGCAAAACAGGAGAAAAGTTGGGAAGGAGCAGACTGGATAGGACCGGAAGAGCGGACCACCTGTGGGCAATAGCCAGTTTCTCAGGCATTTTGAAGGAGGTACTCTCCTGTGGACCGCAGGGATTTGGGGGGTCTTTCAGAATTGAACACAGTGATCTACTTCTGTTACTAGCTGTGTATCCTCTATCCTGGTGTTAACTGAATGTCAGCTTCCACACCTGTTAATTGGGCCTAACTTGGACCATACTACCCTAGATTGTGAGAGACCTAATCATTCACCAGACATTAGTTCCTGAATGCCTGTTACATATAAATTATTTTATAGGAAAAGAAATGTTGTAGGAAGAGTCTATGCGGTTTAGAAGAAGCTAGAGGCCAGATCTTCCCTTCCCGAATTAGCCTAATTCTCTCCTTACACCATTTTTTTTTTTGTTTCTTTTAATACTGGTTTTATTCTGTTTAAGGTAAAGGGAGTCAAACCCAGGGCCTCCAGAATGCTAGACTAATGATTATTACAAACTGTGCCCTTGTGTGTGTGTGTGTGTGTGTGTGTGTATTGTGTCCCTGTGTGTATTGTGTCCCTGTGTGTATTGTGTCCCTGTGTGTATTGTGTCCCTGTGTGTGTGTATTGTGTCCCTGTGTGTGTGTATTGTGTCCCCGTGTGTCCCGTGTGTTCGCGGTGGTGATAGTGGTAACTGGAGGCAAAGCCCCAGGAATCTTCATTGCACCTTCTGACCACCGAGCAGATTCAGCTTGTTTCCGTTTTAAATATTCTTTGACTAAATCTGTGTTCCTCTTGCCAGTGCTTTGGTTCAGGCCCCTAACTCTCCTCTAGCACTGATCCCTTTCTCAGGTCCACTTTCTTCCATCAGGACTGTCTCACTACCACTACAGAATCCTTGCCTTAGATGGCTGCTAAACTCTGTGTTGCATCAAATTACTGCTGTAAGGTTTTGGTGTGCTGCCAGGCCTGCGGTTGAGGTCCTCCTTCTTCGTGGTTGACTCCCAGCAAGGGTCAGTTGCAGCCTCCCTCCACGGTTGCCTCAGCCCTGTCTTCCTTGTTCTCCTGGTGCCCTGTGTTCAGACAGTGCTGTCTTCTTATCTGCTGCTTATTGGCGGCAAGGCTGCTCTGTCATTATGGTGAACCAACTGCTCCAGGCAGGCTGAGCACAGGCCACCAGCCCTTTGCACTTTCTCATGACATCTGAAGCTTTTCTTTTTACTATTTTTAGTTTAATAAGAATTCTTAATAAGTTTCTTCTCACTTTAAGCTACTGTTGGGGTGAGGAGAACCTATTCACAGGTGATCTTCAGCTCTTCTACACTTGTATCCCGTTAAGAGACTGCCTTACTTTGGGAGTGGGGTCCCCCTCTTCTTCCCGCCCTCCCTTGCCCCCTTCACAATTATTGGAATTCAACTATCCTAAGAGATAAGGTGGACTTGGTTACTGCCCTGTAGGTGCCCAGCACCTATCCCACTGACTTGTGGGACTTGGAGCTTGCCCTCCCCCAGGGGTTGGGGAGGCTGGGGGTGGGGGTCCTCTGGGGCTCTGTTTTTCAGGATACTGAGGGGTGAGAAGAGCATGGCCTCACCTATTTGCGTTTTGCTTTTGGTGTTCTAGGTCAGGATGGCTAACAGGGTGGCTTCCTACCTGGTGTCCTACGTCCACATCACACCTTAAAGAAGCTGAAGAGAAAATGTTAAAATGTAAGGTTTTCCTCTCGTAAGTTACATGAACTGTTTACTAAAATAGATCTGATATATTGCGTTGTCCTGAAACTGAAGGTGAGATTCTGCAGTGTGTTAACTGCTGATGAAAGAGCCCCTTGCTCTTCTATGCCCACAAATGGCACAGTGTCTTAGGGGGCAGTGATTATCAGTTTTTTGGGTGAGATCGTGAGTGTGTGCACAGGTGCCTGCACACACACACACACACACACACACACACACACAGAGTATTAAAAAACAAAATGTTTTTAAAAGAATGGCAAATAAAACTTTAATATTAGTGTCAAAAAGTTCTAATATCCTCAGAACCCCTAGGAGACTCTCCTGATATGCCCAAACCATATACCTGAGAGCAGAGTGCTAGCGTTCCCGAGTCTGATCACTGAAACATACTCTAGACTGCAACCAAGAACTTGGCCCAGACCTGCCTGATGTGTTGCCAGCTCTCGGGCAGCTCACCTTGCTCAGCCTCCCATCCTTAACTGTGCAGTGAGAGGTGGGGTGCTCCTTCGCCTTGCTTTTGCCTAGCATTCTTTACATCCATGTTAGTGTTAGCACGGCATCCTTTGCTTCATTTAGGAGCACCGAAATTGGTCCAGACTTCTGGTACTTATTGGACAATTTTGTTCTGCTGCTAGAGTCTACAGGAGTGGGTAAGCTAGGGCTTCCTGTTGGGATTTTGTTACATCTCTGCTGCTGCCTGTGCACCGGATTTTCACCGTCTTTACCGTCAGTGAGTTCTCTTGTTTGTACACCTGGCAATTGCAGAGTAAGTGATCATAACTGGTTACATTCTTAGGAATGGGTAGTTAGCTTTGTTTTATGTGTTTTAACACAAAAATGTTAAATACATAGATAATGTTGCTCTATACAAGACTAGCAGAATTTCCATTGTGGTTTATCAAAAACTTTTGCTTTTTTGTTTGTTTGTTTTCCAAGACAGAGTTTCTCTTTGTAGTTCTGACTGTCCTGGAACTCACTTTGTAGACTGGGCTGACCTTGAATTCATAGAGATCCGCCTGCCTCTGCCTCCCAAGTGCTGGGATTAAAGGTGTGCACCACTACTGCCCAGTAAATAAAAAACTCCTGCTAGGAGATTTATTAAAAATGCTAGACTCTTAACGTATACGTCTAACTGAGAATTGGTCCTGCTCTGATGTCAGACCTGAATGTAAGTGATTAAACACTGGGGTGAGCTCTCTACTTGATGTCACAAACAATTTCTATGGGAATTCTCCGGCCCATTTAAAAAAGCTGAAGAGATTTGGCTTGTTGTAAATTCTGTAAGTGAGGGCATTTTCCCCAGTTAAGGCAGGGCATCTATTAAATCTCCAACTGCATGCTGCCTTTCTCTTTGCTGCCTCCACAAATACAAAACCTAAAGTTAGTTCTTTGACAAAGGGAGGAAATATGTGGCTGTTCATATGTCTGTCTCACATGTATATAAACAGATGATGATATTCCTAGAGTGTAGCTATTTAGTTGATAATATCAGCCAACTTTAGTTTTCTCTTTGGTCAATTTGAGGGGCGTAAAGTACTTAGTTTTATGTAACTTAAACACAAGGGTTTTGATCTATAAAACTGTATTATTTTTATTTTCTGGGCAGTTGCTTGAACCCAGCTTGCCTCATGCTGAGGTGTTCTTGGCATGCGTGCCCTGTGGTCCCTCTTTTCTACTACACTTTAAGTGACCTAACTAACCAGCTGTGTGTTTAGTGCAGATATGGTGACTCCTTCCCCAAGTTTCTGGTAACTTTACATGTCTTTCAGGTCTGACTTTAGTCTCACATGCTAATCTTTCAAGTGCTCTGCAAATTCAAGCTGGCATTCTTTTGTTACTGTCTGCAAAGCTAGAGACCTTAACATAAAATAATGGATTCAGGGACCACTAAGTTCTTCTCCAGTTCTAGGCATGTAATAAATACCTTCCTATGCTAGAGTGCAGAGAGGTCAGGAGGTCATATGACTTGCTCAGAGACTTTAACCACATATACTTGAGGCTTGTCTAAGGTGAGTCTTCCCACGTAGTTTCAGACATGGTATTTAGAGCTGCTTGCTTTAATCAGGTGCACACTCTTTCAGGGCTGATACAGTGAAAGCTGACAGGTGTGACTGCTGTTCCCCATGTTGGCCCTGGGAGCACGCAGCAGCTGTGGACTGAGCAGAGCACTCTCTGTTTCTCCAGGTGTCCCTTGCACTTACAAGAAGGAGCCCGTCCGCATATCCAACGGGAACAGGATCTGGACCCTAATGTTCTCTCACGACGTTTCTGATAAGACGCCGCTTGTCCTCCTTCATGGTTTCGGAGGAGGTCTTGGACTTTGGGCCCTGAATTTTGAAGATCTAAGCACCGATAGGCCTGTCTATGCCTTTGACCTGTTGGGCTTTGGCAGAAGTAGCAGGCCTACATTTGACAGTGATGCAGAAGAAGTGGAGAATCAGTTTGTGGAATCCATTGAAGAGTGGAGATGCGCCCTCAGGTTGGACAAAATGATCTTGCTTGGACACAACCTGGGAGGATTTTTGGCTGCTGCTTACTCTCTGCAATATCCGTCAAGGTGAGCGTTCACAGCAGAGCGGAGGGCCAGTCTCCAGCCCATCCTGCTAGTCAATGTTAGTCTTACAAGATAGACATTCTCGTAACAAACCCTGTAGATAGATGACCACAACTGAAATCAGAGTGGTAACCAATGTTGTAGCTAAAAGGATGAAATCAGTTTTCTATCACATGTACTATATGTTGTTAAGCTTGACAAAGGACATTTTATCTGCTATTCATAATTATACAAAATCTGATCTGTAAGTTCTTTTGAGACAGGGTCTCATTCTGTATATCTGATTGCCTTGGGACTCACTATATAGACTGGGGTGGCCTCCAATTCACAGAGATCGACCTGCCTCATCATCCCTAGTGTTGGAATTAAAGATGTGTGCCACAATACCTGGTCTGATTACCAAGGTGTTATTGCTTATTTTTAACAATTAAACCTTTGGCTCCAGAAGGCTTTTCCAGACCTTTTGCTGAGTTACATTTATAATGGGATGCAGGCTATATCTGTGCGACTGAGCAAATCATGTGAGCTCTGAACTTGGGTTTCCTTCATAGTGCACCTCTCATGGTTTTTGATTATATCATTCCCTAAACCTTGTCATCACAGAGCTTTTAAAGAAATTTTAGAGACCGGATCCTACTGGGTGCTAGGCTGACCTCTGACTTACTGTGTGGTCCACGCTGACCTCAAACTTCAAACTCAAGCCTTTTTCCTGCCTGAGTCATGGGATTGTAGACTTACCCCACCATGCTCAGCCAGAACTGGTTTCCGGTCCTTGAATTAGTGGGTGTTTTGCTTTAGAGTCTTTCTACTTTTTACCCTGCTGTTCCCTGTAATGTTGGTGTTCTAGCAGAAGCCACGTTTCAGTCTGAAGAAAATGAGAGGAAAAGTTAGCTCCATTTTGAGCCTTCTTTGTACAGAAGAGAATATCAATGTTTTTGTGTTGCCAGTGGGTTCTTCCACTGGACTGTGTTTTAAATCTAGAATCAAAGTGGTTATGGACATTGAGGGTTGTGGGTAAGGCATGGGATGGTCATTTTTAGAGTGTCTGTACCCATCCATGGGCCACTCAGTTTTACAGCTGCAGGCATATAGTCTGTACAGTGTTGGGCACGTGATTCAGTATACTGTGGTTTGTCCCGCCCCAGTGCCAACTTCAGCCTTTGTTCCGAAATTCTTCATATGCTTGAAAGAAACAGTCTTGTCAACCAGAAGACCTGTTCATTAAAAAACAAAACAAAAGCCATCACTCTTCCTTTTCATAGTGGGCATTTTAAGGCCAGCCAGTATTTGAATGCATCCTGCTCATGGTAACAGAAACTTAATGATGTTTGTGAGGAATAAAGAAAGACATAGTTAAGCCAACAGCTGTTTGTGGCATCTCTGGAGCTATGACTAAAGGCTGTGGGCTGGACTGTCATCAACGCTACATCGGAACTCTCAACCCTTCCTAGCTGACTGCGGAGTAGCAGGGCTGGTGACATTTCCATTTACAGTCGTGAGTTGCTCGGAAGAAGCAGAACTTGGTGAATGCTTAGAAAAAAAAAATCCATGGAGAAAATCGCAACCACTGATCCCTCCTAGAGCTGACTGCATTTCAGAGAGTGTGTTATGAATGTTTGTGCTGAGTACTGTAGGAACCAAAACCACTGAGTAGTGGTCCTAAGTGTAGTGTGCCTGCATTCCTCCTCTTAGTGTCAGAAGATGGCTCTAGGACTGGACAGCCAAGACTGGATTCCTTTATTTTTTCAAGATTTATTTTATATTATTTGAGTTTGGTTTTGAGAAATATAGCCCTGGCTATCCTGAAATTAGCTGCATAAACCAAGCTGGCCTTGAACTCAGATCTGTCTGCCTCTGCTTCCTGCGTGTTGGAATCAGAGTTGTGTGCCACCATGTCTGGCTTAATTGTCTTTTTTTTCTTTAGCTCATACTTTTGACTTTATAACATTTGCTAGATGTGGGTGAATTTCAAAATAAGTGGATTTCCAGACATCCCAGTCATCATGAGGAAGTCTCATAGCAAGTGGGGTTCACATTTGATATTTCTAGATGTGGGGCTGCCTCCCGTGTCACCTCGAGTGTTTCTAACATGGGCTCTGTGTACACTGTCAACTTTGGTGGTGGTTTTGAGTCGCAGCTGCATTTTCCCTGATGCTATTATCATCCCTACCCAAAGAAAGGCTTCAAAATTCATTATACCTTTTTGGAATGTCAGCTATATGCCCAGCTGTGCTGTGCGCAGGAGGGCGTGTGACTCAGGGCTATGTGTACGGGAGTTTTATTGGAACGGCATTTTAAATACCCATACAGTGGCTCGACCCCAGGGATGAGTGCTGTGGGCAGGAGGTAGACCGTGCTCTGAGAACCGTCTGGTCTCCTGTCCAGTGATGGTCTAAAGAAATATTTTTTGAGCTGAGGTCTGAAAGAGGCATGCTGGGTGGCGGGAGACAGCTCCAGATGAGGGCCACAGCCATCTCGGTTCATCTTAATCTTTCAACTATAGCGTGATGAGTGGAGATGCTGCCAGGAATTTCACTAGTAGATTAATATGATAGGTCACAAATGGAGCTACTTGCTTCTTGAAGAGTCTTGGGCTGTCTTCCCTGAGGAAGAGTGAAGTTCGCCAGTGCTGGTAACCAAGCTATTTGCCTCTTCCTCTCAACTGTTCAGATTTCCCTTTGCGAAGAAATATCTGTGTTACCAGCATTTGCTGCACACTAAGAAAGGCTGTGATGGACGCTTAGAAGGATGGACTGTACAAACTGCAGCCCCAGCACCCGGGGGACAGAGGCCGGGAGCACAATGAGATCTTGTCTGAGAACTGGTAGAGAGCCATCCCAGGTCACAACAGCACGCTAGAACAGTCTCCACCAGTGACAGATTGTGAACAATATTATCTTGAGCGCCTGCCTTGGCTGACTGCTTCCTGACAGTGCAGACCTGGGCTGAGCAACTTCCTGGTTCCTCTCAAGAAGAAAATTTCTTGCACTTGACCTGGAGCTGAATGTGCTGAAATGTTTTCAGGTCCTCCCTTTCTCCCAGTGGTGTGGTGCGAACAGGAAATACCCCGGGCTACTTTGGGTCTGAGAATGCTCCTTTGTGTAGGCTGGAATTCTTTCTGGTTATCTTGCTTGCTCCTTTCCTTGTTTCAAGGAAGTCCTATAGATTTCCTGATGCACCTTAGTTCTGGGACTGACTGTTCTGGTTGTGTCATTCTAGCTGGGAGCTGACTGCATCTATAAAATTCAAGTGTATAGAGTCATGTGTTCATTTAGACAGAATACTGTCCCGCCCAGTATGTTAGTGCAGATGTGACCCATTGCTTTGCCCTTAAAGGTGTAAGCTGTTTATGGGCCGCAGACTCAAACTCTGCTGACCACCATTGAGAAGTGTGTCCTTTTGTTTCAGCATGGATGGGCTGTCCCCTTCTTCCCGCTCTTCCTGTTCTGTGTTTTCCTATAGTTGTTGAGGGAGGTGTCTGCTAGGATGGCTCAGGTGTGCCGTCTTCTCCCACTCATTCCTTACCCTACCTGTGAGCTGACAGCCCTGTCAGGGTGGGGCCAGTACTGTGGCTCATGTCTGTAATTTTAGCTCTCAGGAGGCAGAGAGGGAGGAGGAGCTCTACAAATCCGAGGCTGGTCCGGGCTACATAGCATCTCCAAAAGGTAATAAATAAAACAGAAATGTGAAAATCCTCCAGTTTATCCTCTGTGGGATACACTCTGCTATGACAGCTTCTCCACTGGACACTTACCATGGCAGCCACCAAGGGCGATGCTTTGTGTGGTCTGTTGTATTCAAAAGACTTACAATGAAAAACAAGGAAATTATTTTGTGAGATCTTTTACATGTAACTAAAGTGGATGCAATCTAACTACATTTCTGATGTTGGAGGCTTTAAAACTTTATTTTTAAACTTTTTTTTTTTTTTGCTATAAGTGTTGTAAAGAATTTATGTGTGTGTGTGAGAAGGGATAATGCTCATTCTGGTTGTATTTTTCAATTCCAAATAATACATCTTATCAAAAATAAGACAAGACTTCTGACCCTCTGTAATATCACAACCAGCAGCAGTATAATCCAGGGCCATCTGGGGACCACAGCATTCCACACTTGGCTAAGATGGTACCGAGGGACAAAACAAAGCCTGCAGGCCTTACTGAGAAACTGCCACCTCTGCCACGCTGGGTCCTGAAGACAGGCTTGAACAATCCGGGGTCAATTTTACTGCCTTTCAAAACCAAGCAAATAAAGATTCTTCACCCTGGTTTATATACTTTGCACAATGTATTAAGCTGACATTTTCCAGAGGATATTTTGAAAATTATATTAAACAAGGCAAGCAGAGACAAATCTCTTACCTAGAGCAAGGTGAGACTTTCCCCTCCGAGCGCAGTGGGGTGTTTGGATGAAGAGCTCCTTTCTTTGTTTAGGAAGTGTGCCAGCAGCGAGTACTGCCAGCTGCTTCCCGCCATGAGTGCTTGCTGTTTTCACTAAGGTGGCCATTCCGTCAGTCCTGCTCTCAATGCTGGCACGTCTCTCCCAGTCTCTGAATTTAAAGGACTCTGCCATTTTGTTTTCAGGAAAGAATCATTTTCCATCTTTTTCTCATACACTATTAAAAACGTAGACGTGAAAACACACTAGGTGTGCACAGCTGTCACGTGCCACATAACTCCTTCCACACCCATAGTTCCATCCCACAAATGGTCCAGGGCTATCCAGTTTGGGAGACAGTGTTTGCATTGACTGAGGGTTGGTAAATTAAAATGCACTGTTCTGCTGCTGTGGATACTTCCGGAATGAAAGCCTGAAGGGGAGGGGTCGTCCCTGTGAGCGTCCTGGAGTGGGAAATGAGGTCCAGCCTTACTCTGCACTAACAACCATCGCGTGCTGGTGTGTGCCCACTCTGCGTCTCCGCTCCCTTCCATCTGTGATGAGAGGTTAGACTGAGTTTTCTCTGTTCTCTGCGACTGTCCTCACACGTGCTGACAAGACACTAAAGCAGATTTCTATGTAGGAGATAAAACCACATGGACAGTTTTCAGTGGCTCTGCCGCTGTTTCAGGTGTGGCTGGGGAGGCTGTCAGACACTGTCATCTGCTGGGGGTTGTCTTGCTGTGGGTGACTACTGTGGGTACAGTTGAAAACTGTGTTGGGGTTGTGCTTCAGGTAGTCTTTATGAAGAGAAGAAATTGCACCTGTCATATGGTGGCAATTCACAGTTTTTCTTTTTCTTTATCAGGATAAGTTTCATAGGGCAGAATTATACCTATTAATGTTATAATGAGTCTATTTGTCTGAAATTAAATGAAAAAGTTGTCTAGTAAAGAAGTTGTTTGGGGGATAATTATAGCTTGTTTATTGTGTTGTCGTGGATGGAGTGGACAGACATGCTTCTTTTGCCACACTCAGACTCCCAGACGGGAATGTCTTTTGTGAGCCCAGGATGTACTATTGCCATGTTTGTGGGGGAAATCCTAACTTGCTTTAAAATTTAAGAATTATTGTTCCATAAGAGATTAACCATTTCGTGAGTGTAATGCTGATCTCCCATCAGTCCTGCAGCGCCCTCTCCTTTTTCTCACCCCCCTTCTCCTTTCTTTTTAGGAAGCAGTTATATATTCTACTTTAGTGTATATTTTGTTTACATATAAGCAAAGCCTTTATTTTACCATGAGCTCCTCAAATCCTTCCCATCTTAAGAGCTGACACAGTGGGTTAGCAGACAGTCTTCCCTTTAGGGGTTCAGTCCTCCCTTTTGGGGGTTCAGTCCTTCCTTTAAGGGTTCAGTCCTCCCTTTTGGGGGTTCAGTCCTTCCTTTAAGGGTTCAGTCCTCCCTTTAGGGATTTAGTCCTCCCTTTAGGGGTTCAGTCCTCCCTTTAGGGGGTTCAGCCCTCCCTTTAGGGGTTCAGTTCCCCCTTTAGGAGTTTTGTCCTCTTTTCAGGAGTTCAGTCCTCCCTTTAGGGGGTTCAGTCTACTTGAGTTTGTCCAGTTAACTCTTTACAGATAAAGGTGAGTTCACAAAATGAACTTTAACTTGTTTTTCTTTCCTCAACAGGGTTAGTCACCTCATTTTAGTAGAGCCGTGGGGTTTTCCTGAGCGACCAGACCTTGCTGATCAAGAGAGACCAATTCCAGTCTGGATCAGAGTCCTGGGAGCAGCCTTGACTCCATTTAACCCCTTGGCTGGCCTCAGGATTGCAGGACCGTTTGGTGAGTGTTCATGTCCTGAGAAACAGCAGTGTTTACAGATGGACAGTCGAAGAGCGCCTGCTCCCCACTTAGGATGGACGGGCTGCATCCCGTTAAAGCCATTGTCAGCTCAGACTGCCCCTAACATGGAGCAGCAGCAGCAGCAGCGTGGCACGCTACAGAGCCCTTGTGTGTGGCTGGGCATGTGATCACTGTCACTTCCTGTCATCACACGGTCTGGTTCCACACCTCAGCTCAGGAAACCATCAAAATTCAAATTGTGATTTTACTGAAGACCTGTTGCTTCTCCCCTGTCCTAAGCTGAAGCGTCACAAACAGGGGACCGTCTATGTTTCCTGGTTACCTTTGCTAGTCACAGATAAATCGGGACTCTTGCTTTTCCTGATTCTCCCTTAGTATCAGGCTCAGTAATGATAAGAAGAAGCCAATCACTTTCCTTGAGAGGGAGCTTTTATATTGTAAAACATAACAAGTAATTAGCAAAGCAGAGACCGGGAAACACTGGCGATAAGGTAGGTTGGTCTCAGCACCCTAAAACCCGAGCAGATGCTGTGTGGGGTACGGGCAGGAGTGAAGCATGATTACCTCTGTGGTCATTTGAGAGGCCGTGGCTGCCGGTGAGAAGCCAGCAGTAGAGGCCGTGGAGCTGATTGGTGTCACCACACTTAGTCCTCCCCCCCCCCCCCCGTCCATGTGATGAAAGGTGAAATGATCCTTTGCATGAACGTTCTGGGGACTCCTGGATATTTACTTTGAGTATTGGTGTTTAGACTCTCACCCCAACGTCTTAGCTGATAGCCACAGAAAAGTCCTTCCCTTATTGACTGAGATGATGGCCATCTGAGCCCCTCCTCTGCGCCCTTACAATTTGTGTAAGTTGGGAGTGCTTTTAGCAATAAATAACTGAATATCTGATAAATGGCTTAAACCATGAGCCCTTTTATTAATTTCCCAACACACAGTCAGGGGTGAGTAGCTCTAGCACTTTCAAGCACCTGCGATGTTGTGCTTGTTCCCATGCCTCTAATGATATCAGCCTGAGGCAGGGTTCCACTGTGTAGCCCAACTGGCCTGGAACCAAAAACGCAGATCAAGCCGACCTCAAATTCACAGAGATCTACCTGTCTCTGTCTCCCGAGTGGTGGGACTAAAGGTGTGCTCCACCATCCTGGCCTACATCTGTGATCTTTTAACAATCTTCCATGTGTCTGTGTGTATGTTTCGCCTGCACTATGTCTGTACACCATGTGTATACCTGATGCCCTAGGAGGCCTGAAGATGGCATCAGGTCCCCTGGAACTGGAATTGCAGATGGTTGTGCGTACCGTGTGGGTGCTGGGAACTGCTAACTGCTGAGCCATATCTATCATAGTCCCATATCTGTGTCTGGGATTCTCTCCCCTCCCCCCATTGTTATCCAGTGATCCCATGACACGGAGCCACATCCCATAGAGCAGCTCCTGGAACAGTGAAGGGGGCTCCACAGCCGCCCCTTCGCTCTCTGCCCACTGCTGGTTCTTTGGCAAGGAAAGGATAAATTTCTGCTCCTGAAACCAGTCTGCTCCAAAGCTCAGGGGAAGGCAGCCTTCCTTGGCCATTGCTCCCTAAATCAGTACTAGGAAAGGGAGAGAGACATGGGAAGGTAGATAAGGATGGAGTGACCGCTGCCTGGCTGCTAGATTCTGTCCCCTTCTTTCCAGTCGTAAGGGAGTCATAAGAGGCCACAGGGTTGAGCTGGTGAGCACATCACACTTGTCACACTGCTCCAGAGCTCACTCAGGGTCACACTTGTCCAGCGCTCACTCAGAGTCACACTTGTCCAGCGCTCACTCAGGGTCACACTTGTCACACTTGTCCAGCGCTCACTCAGGGTCACACTTGTCCAG